AACTTGAGAAGGCACTGTCAATGACTGACTCTGGGGTGAACCTGACCAAGACTTTACAACCTGACAGTGTGAGTGTGAATGTGAGTGTGAATGTGAGTGTATGTCTGCATGTGATCAGTGCAACTGCATGATTTAAAACAATGACTAATCAAGCATGCTTTTGGACTAACACATTATTCTGGGGCTCTGTGGGCAACGAGAGGTTTCCTACAATTCCACAAAAATTGGAAAACCGTACAGGTGACCCGTTTCTAATCTACTTGATATTTCACTTCCACAGGAGGTGGCAGTTTGCAGAATGTGAAACTCAAACTAAAACATGAAGATTCTGTTTCTTTTAGGACTGAAAGATGGAGAGAAACACTTCATTTCACTGAAGTGTTTACTGTGGAAAAGGATGGATGTACATTTGGGAAAAATGTTTGGTATTTTCTTATAATCCATTATTACCTGAAGGTTTTCTTCCCATACAGGATTTTGGTTACACATGAGTTCATGTGTAAAAAGGGGGAATGTAAACTTCACAATCTACATTTTTCATTTAGGGACTGAGAGGAACCTGCTGCCCCAACTCGATTGTTCAATCTGACCATTGATTGACAGTTTTAGGATTGACCTGCTCCATATCTGGGGATAAGATACTGTTTGATGGATGTTGACATGTTTCTAATATTGATTGAGTTATAACAGGTAACACAGATGCAGAATCACTGGCCAAGGGGCTACTGTGAGAGATGTAATTCCAGAATGGAATACTGAAGAAGTTGACCTCTGAGGGCCCAGGAGCCCTGAGCATAGGCTTGAGGGATTTGTATCAGATTTCTCCACACAGGTTGGTGATGCAAAAAGGGGGACCTGAGACGCAGGAGGCTGACACAGCGGAGTTCGTCTGGCTGAAGGTCATCAGGACAAAGTGGCTCAACCCCAGGCTCTCCGGCCCCGACCGAGTGACCCAGCGGATCTCACAGCTCGTACCACGGGAGCCAGTGTGCGGCGGGGAAACCACCTGCTAGGACCGGGGACGACATCAGGACGGACGTGGCCCTCGCAGAGGAGGACTACTCGGAAGCAGCCATCAGTGGACTGGAGGAGCAGGATTCTGAAGACATCCTTACAGCAGACTACTCGGAAGCGGCTGTCAGCGGGCTGGGGGACTTGTCGAGGCAGCAGAGGTGTCTTTCTCTCTGATCAGTTCCACCAGTGAAGGGAAAGCCGCATCTCCCCCTCCCTATCAGCTGCCCCTTGTTGGCGTATTCCTCTGAGGGGGGGGGGGCTGATGATTCACCACACAAGGAGACTGCTTTCTAGCACTCAGGTTGCCCTCTCATGGTTCCTTCACTGCCATGGAAAGTGGTGTTCTGTTCCCAAAGATTTCGAGTACTTTGGGTCTCAGTCTCTGATAGATTTATACAATGTTGAGACGGACACAGTAGAAAAGAATGACAGGGGATCTGTGTCAAAATGCCTTGTGTAAGTTTAATTCTTGAGAATGAGATAAAAAGGGGGAATTGAGGGAAAATTGAAGTAACTTGAAAGTTTGAAGTGAAAGTTTGATACAGCGTATTTTTGGTATATTCATCTTAATGTCCCCTGATATATAAGAAGTGTGTTTTTATATATTCATGTGTGTACTTAATTACTTTGTATTTAATAGTGGCAGTTTATATGAACAAAAAGCTGGAGATATGAGGAGTGAAAACTTCCCTGTCATTGAGAAGTGTAGGGGACAGAGAGGAAATACCCTTATATAGACATATGCTATAGACAGAAGTCTGAAGAATGTGTGTGTGTGAAAGCTGCAGAAATACCAGATGTTTTTGCTTCAAACTAAGACTGTTTCCAGATCATCTCGGCTGGCGCGCGCTGATACGCTACGAAAGCCCATCGTTTATATATGGGCCAATAGATTACCTGTATGGGGGTAGCATCCACACAGCTCCTCCCTTGTTTTTACAATATCTCCTGTTGAGTCCTGGTGTCTGGCCTCTTTTTCTCCTGCCGTCAAGATGATAAGGTTCTCCCGGCATTTGGACCAGAGCAGGGGCTGGGCCCACCCCTTTGAGAAGTGTATTTGTATTCTTACCGTTTATCATTAAAACAGATTATTGTTTAACCCCTATCCTGGTTGTTTTGAGTTTTCCTTCTTTTAAAGCAAACTCATATAGGATCGGCGTGGAGCAGAGATATCTGCTCCAACAACGCATGGCGTAATTTCCACCTGGGACAGGGGGGACATGTCCCCCGCTCTTTTCGAAATCCCGTTTGTGTCCTACCACTTTACAAATATGTTTATTATTATTTTTTAACGCAAGCCGTCATCGCCACGGAGGAGCACACAGCCTCTGTGAGCGAGCGAGACAGAGGGAGAGAGCGAGCGAGAGAGCTAGGGAGGGAGAGAGAGAGAGGGAGAGAGAGTGAGCGAGAGAGCTAGGGAGAGCACACCTTTATCTATTTAAGATAAAGTAAGAAATCATTCCAATGTGTACTAAAGGACAATAAAAAAAAAAAAAAAACAGTTTAAAAGGGGAGTGATCAGTAAAATATGCATAAATAAAAAGAAAGAAGGCTAACTATAGGTAACATAAGATAAGAATAAACCACGTTAAATTATTTGTTATTGGTTGTGTCTCAAGATGTTTGGATTATTGAAAAGTATACAGCTCCCTTTCATCTGAGTGTTGAGAGCTGTATCCATAAAATCATTTTGTGCTCAAAGTGCAACACATTGATGCTTTTAACTTCAACATTTAAAAAAAAACATCTTCCCGGGGGAGTATGCCCCCGGATCCCCCTAGAGGAGGTGAGGACCCCCCTAGAGGAGATGAGGCACGTCCACCCCCAAATAAAGCAGGTTAAAATAATTAAATTGAATACATGTTCTTTCAGTAAACACTGAAAACGGGTCCCACAGACGCAAACAGCACACAAAGGTTAAAGGTAAGCATATAATAATGTTAAAATGTGCTAAATATATACACTGCAAAAAACTAAAAAAAGAGGAAAAAAAGTAGCCCCCGACTTGTTTTATTTTTTGAAAGTAGCCCTCACCCTAAAAAAGGTTGGTGACCCCTGCTTTAGCGGCAGAAAAGGATGGATGTATTACATAATGCATGTTCTTAAATTATAGTCACAGTGAGTATGTTTCTCCTGAAAGCACTCCAGTGGAGGACCTTTCCACTCCTAAATTAGCTGCTGACAATCAGCATGGATTAACACTAGGGAGCTACAAGGATTACTGTGCAGTAGGGGTGTAACGGTTCACAAACATTTCGGTTCGGTACGTACCTCGGTTTTTTGGTCACGGTTCGGTTCGGTACGTTTTCGGTACAGCAGAATTTTTTTTCACAAAACAAAACATATATATATATATTTTTTATTATTATTAAACTGTGAATAATGTATTCACTCAAATAAATACAAAATATAATAAAATAAACATTAAGGTGCAGCATTTCGATGAACTGAAATAATCTGTATTTGAACTTTACTGTACTAGTACTCACAAAACAAATTAGTTTTGTGTTTTTAATTATTATTAAACTGTGAATATTCACTCAAATAAATACAAAATATAATAAAATGAACATTAAGGTGCAGCTTTTCGATGAACTGAAATCATCTGTATTTTAACTGTACTGTACTAGCACCTAAGCAGCCAGTTTGACATTAGGACTTGCTTGTCACTGTATTTTCATGTTTTTTTAAAGAAAGATGAACTTGTCCACATTGCTTGCCGAAAGGGCAGATCTGCTGGCACTAACAATGTCTCCTGCTGTGGAGAACACCCTCGCTAGGGACAGAGGTACAGCCAGGTAGCGCTTTGCTAACATGGCAACATAAGGATATTTGGTGTTTGTAATAGCTTTGGCTCGGTCTGAACTCTCTGCGAGTGGTGGAGGCTTAAATGCTAGCGGGAGTTGGGTTTACACTTCAGTCTGTTTTCTTTTGGTACCGGTGATATTCACGTTCGGGTGATGCCTTTTCAAGAGTGTGCAAGTTTGATGTATTGCCAGCCGCGTAACCAATTTTAGTTGAACAATGCCGACAAACAGCTTTGGTTCGGTCCACCTGTCTTTGTCCGTCATCCTTGTTCGTAACTGCGAAACCAAAATGTTCCCAAACCGGAGACTTCAATGATGCTGGAGGATTTTCGAGCTCAACTTTATCTGCGTTCGCCATTAATTTTCGACAGTTCCTCAAATTACTGACTAAATTTGAACGCATCCCTCTGACCAGCTCTCATAGTATGCCTCTCATCCAATGAAATGACTTGCTCGCTCTATGACGCGTTGAACCCAATGTGAGCAAATTACTCTGAATGCTGCGACGCAGCACCTGAGATTACTTCCAAAAAGTTGTTCACGTTCTCAATTGTTTACGTTTAACGATATATTCGTTCGGTAAACTTCGGTACACACCTGTACCGAACCGAAGGGCCCGTACCGAATAATTTCGGTACGGGTACGTGTACCGTTACACCCCTACTGTGCAGTCCAAAGTGTTTCCAGTGTCATTCAAACGAGTTCTGCTACATTTAGCCCCACATTGAGGCCCTAATGGATAAACACAGGAAAGGGAGGATCTTTAAAGTTGTACAGTCCAGATTAGGAACTAAATAAAAACCATTAGACCAAGAGTTCAGTCTGTAAGATTAACTCATTTATTTTACGCTCTGGTTTAGTTAACCAGGAAAAACTGAAAAAGGTGTTTCTAATAGTCTGAAACATGGTTGTACTAAATCTGACGCAGTTAAGTGTTCTCAAACATCAGACTGGGGGTGGTGGAGGAAACACTGATGCTACAAAGGACAGATTTCACCAAAGCCTGGAGTGTGTTAGGGTTACATTCCTGTACAAAGAACAAAGCTTTGATTATCAGCGGACTGTTCCTCAAGGCGGGAGTCGAGATAAGTCAGACATGAAGCTACAACAGTTACGTGTCTTTTAAGTAATACTACATCCAGAAGCAGAAAAAGGCAGTGTACAAATAAGACATCTTACCTTCATCAGTGTTGGCAGGCCGGCACTCCGTCCGTAAAACTTGGGAGAGTAAAACCAGACTCAGAAGTATACTCGGTCTCATCAGCATCCTGCTGAGGGAGCTACAACCGTTTGCTTTTCTGCAACTGCAACTCCATTCAGACCGTTGGGGCATCAGCAGCGGGTCATTTACAGTGCTAAACTAAAAACAAACAAAAAGTAATAAAAACAAATTAATGCATAACTACGTGAGAAAGCAGCCTCATGGGTTAAAAGCAAACAGTTACTAAAAATAGGTTTATGGTCCAAGTATTTTAGCGAGAGACATATTTGCTTGTATTTGCTCGTGGAAAATAAACATTTCAACTTAATCCATTGCTTTTTTGTAATCCGAACTGCGTTTGGTGTGAGTGGGACACCAGGATATATTTATTATTTTACATATTGAAAAATGTTGGTTTACATGGGAGATTTTGTAGATGAAATACCAGATAACGTTGGTATTGGGGCTAGGCAATAAGGAGGAATTTCATAAAAACTTTGATCAAATATAAAGATATTCCTAATGATATTGCTGAGTTGATCATTGGAGCTTTCACCAACTATTTAAATGAGATTTTTTATAAATAATCATTAGTAATGGGGAAATCATGACCAGGTGGGTGAAGCTAACAGTCTGGAAAGAGCGAGGAGAAGAAAAAAACATATTATGATGTTTCCACACCCAAAATGTACAGTAAGTAGACTATACTCAACCTATTTATCGGTCGAATAATCGATTATTATTCGCCAGGGCTGCCGAATAATCGATTTTGATCATGGTCAGTTTCTGGCAACCCTAGTATGTATAGTATGATCTCATAAGGACTGTCCTACCATTAATTTAAGACAATGTTCAAAGTTGTTGATTGTGCTACTAGCGGGGCTCTGTGCAGTGGGTGAGCCTCACATCTGCTTGCATCATCACCTCTGCAGCATCTGGCCACATAGATTAACACTTACCCCGGACCCCCATGATCCTCCTTGAGGAATTTGTTTAAAGACCGAAAAAACTACAGCCTGTTATGTGACACCCTTGTAGAGAGAAACCGTGCCGGGCCATCATTTCCACGCTGAGAGATCTATCACCTAACAGTTGGTTTTGGTCCCCAAGCTCCAAGTCACCCCTCCTTTCAACCATTTGCTCCCATGACTTGTAAGGAAACGTAAAACTAATGCTATTTTTTTTACCCAAGTCAAGCCAAAACCCATGCTTATTAATAAAGAACTTACTATTCAACATACTGTAGGGCTGGGAAACATATCGATATTATATTGATATCGAGATGCTAGACTAGATTTTGTCTTAGATTTCTGATACAGTAATATCATATGTGTGGTCTTTACCTGGGTTTAAGGGCAGCGTAACAGTAAAGTGATGCTTTTTTCTGAATTTACCAGACTGTGGTAGCTGTAATATGATGTGCCTTTAACCCGCATTATCATTATATTCAGGGCTCGACATTAAGGACTGCCTGATGGCCCGGTGTTGTGCACCGTCAAAAGTGCTAGTCAATCATGTTTCATGTTTATTTTGTATTGTTTTTCACTTCCTGTTTTGTTTTTGTCACGTCTCATTTCAGGTCCCTTGACTCCCTTTCCTCATGTGTTCTCCCGCCCTCATCAGTATCAGCCCCGCCCCTGATTGTGTTCACCTGTGTCTTGTTGTTGAGTGTTTAAATTCCCCAGTCTCCCAGCGTTCAGTGTCAGTTCGTCTTGTCCTGTCCCCATGACAGAGCTATGCTCTTCAGCTCGTTTTGATTCAAAGCCTATGTTGGCTCCTGAAACTTATTATAAGTTTAGTTCCTCACGTTGTGAGTGATTTTCTGTTTTGCCTTGCTCAAACCTTTTTTTGTCATCTCTTAAGAGTGATCTTCTTTTGTTACCTTTTTTGTGCAAATAAAGTATCTTAATTGTACTTTACCTTTGGCTCCCGGGTCGTGCATTTGAGTCCTTATCCTTGTGTAACCAAGTTCATAACACCCGGGGCCATCTAGTATTTAGCTCGGCAATGAAGCCTCACCTGCTGGTTGCCCGACCGGGCAATCTATTATGCCAGTATCATGCAGCTCGCGGATCCAGTAATGAGTGACCCGACAGTAAAACTAAACATATCTATAACTAGTTTAGGTAGTTTGAGAGGTAATTAAAATAGCTATGTGTGATATTCTAACCTGAAGTGAGTGTTTTGTTCCGCTCAACGCTGCATGTGATCATGCAGAGCTGCGTATCGACTCGTCAGCAGCAGCTGATCTCTCTCTCCCGTCAGATTAGACTTCACTCGCGTTTATGTCCATATCGATCAGATCCAGCTAGTTCTAGCTAATGATAGGACTACCTGCTTATTAAAAGACACCTAAACAATAAGTGTGTCGCTATGCAACTGGGTGAGGCCACAAAGTATGCGCAGCATTATGCATTTGTTTACATGCCCACCGGAACCCTGAGGCATTACCAACAGATCAACGCACAATCAACCCATACAGGACATCTCTTTCTCCACATTAAGTGTTAGACCTTAGAATTGACTATTCTTGTCTGTCACATACTCTTCTTGTCTGTCACATAAGTGGCGCAACTGAAGCGGTATTGCGCTAAAGGGAAATAATTTTGACCGAAGAGATTTAGATTTGCCGGCTAACGGGAACTCTGACGTCGCCATTTTGTGTGCTTCGCGGATGCGCTCGGCTCCTCTCGACTGCTGCTCGGGTCTGCTCGGTCAGCTTCCGGATGAGGAGGCATTCGTTCGACCAACTTACAGTAGACAACATTACAAACATTTTTAACAGGGGCCATAATAGTGTAAATAATGTTTGTTTTGGCAGTTACAACTGAATGTAATGTTTTCTACTTTTTTACATCTGGGAAGGCATTTGCCTTCATCAGATGGAAAGTGTCTTGACCAACAACTTAAGTAGTTCTTATAGCTATGCAGGGCATGCAAGCGAGCAAACACAAACAAGAACGAACAAACAAGTGAAATGAAGAATAAAATTGAAATTGTACAATATAATATTTTGGTGGTTCATCTTATAATTCAGTCAAGAGAATGCACCAGACAGCATCTACAGTAACACCTGTAAACATCTAAATGTTCTAGGGGGAGGCCCCCCAAACCCTTCGTGCCATTTCGTCCGCGCGCATTTTTCAGGGCAATCTCAATTGGGCTCAGGGTCATCTGTAAATTAGCTTAGATGGCCCACAGGGCCATCTCCCAAAATCCTTAATGTCATGCACTGATATTCATATTATTTATGCCAATATCCCACTGTGTTCCTAATTTTGTGAAGGTGGTCAACACAATGGTCAACCCTTTAATATCGATATAGTGAGATAGGATCGCCCAGCTCTTAATAAATGAGATATCATTGCAACATCTGGGTGAGATTCACACAAAGTCATGTTCAGATGCAGCTGTGGTTTCCTTTAAAGGCCCTGACACACAAAGCCGATTTCGGCCGTCGATAGATGTCAGGCCGTCGATGAGCGTCCTGTCGCCCTACTCAGATTGGTGTTTCCCGCACCGTCGTGTCTTTTCGGCCATGCCGACACCTTCCGATCGGCAGCGGAGGCTGTCGATAAAATAAATCAGTCTGATTGGCTGTTCAGCTTAGCGAATCAGTGCATGAGAAGCTAAACGGAAGTGAGGTACGCAAACAAACAATTAAGAAGGCACACACAGACGGCTATTATTTTTCATTTTCAAACATGTTTTCGATTATAAAGGCCGCTACACACCAACCTGAGACCAAAGAACGCATACCGAAGGCGTCCCGACTTTTACGTCCGCTACGTCGCCTGCGTCGGTTACGCAGCCCGCCTACGAACACACCGCAAAGACTTCAGTCGACGAGTGGCAATAACCAGAGGTGGGGACTCGAGTCACATGACTTGACTCGAGTCAGACTCGAGTATGGGGGTTATTCCCTATCTTTATTCAAGAGCGTGGTATTTAAATTTGAGAGTATACTTTATTGATTTATTTCCCTTTAACCCTGTCCTCGCACTCAAATAGTGCCTGCTTGCGCTTAGATTTGCTCTGCTTCTGCTCAAACTGTACGCTTGCACTCAGATTTTCTGAAATGCTGTTGTGTTTTGTGAAATGCTGTGGTGTTTTCTGAAATGCTGTGGCGTTTTGTGAAATGCTGTGGCGTTTTGTGAAATGCTGCGGCGTTTTCTGAAATGCTGTTGTGTTGTCTGAAATGCTGTTGTGTTGTCTGAAATGCTGTGGCATTTTCTGAAATGCTGTTGTGTTTTGTGAAATGCTGTAGTGTTTTGTGAAATGATGTAGCGTTTTGTGAAATGCTGTGGCGTTTTCTGAAATGCTGTGGTGTCTTGCACTTCAGGGCCACCGTACTTCCGTATTGGCGTCCCGGCTCTTCTCCAGAGTTTGCCGCTTGGTCAATACATATCGACCCGAACGAACGAAAACAGTTTTAACATAGCCTATAGTTTTTTGTATATGACAAATTTGCGAGGGTGATGACGTCAGAGCATCGTCCATTTTAACAAACAAAATAAATTATAAAAGGCATAATATATTTTATAAATGTAAGTGTATGTAGTTTGAGATGGTAGAGATTGCATATGTATTAGTCAGATACAAATATGCAAATGTATCAGGCAACATTTTAGATGTTAGAGTCTTCTCTTGCCTTAGCAACGTTAGCTTAATTTAGAGTTTGGCCTAGCCTCAGCAGTTCCACTCATGCTGGAGAATGCTAAAACATTAAACAACCTAACATAGTTAACATTTATAAAATATCACTTACCTGGAGCAGTTGTGTGTGTTTTTCCTGCTGTAATTCGTTACTCATTGCTGTGTTGCTTCTTTCACACACCATGTGGAGCTGCTTCAGTCTCAGACTCTCAGTAATCTTTTTCTGTGCCGATCGATGTTTGTAATGATGCGTTCAAGTGCACATGTACATTGCGGCTTCATGTTGGAGTTTGCAAAATGTTTCAAAACCAAAATACTTCTTATGAAGTATATTTCTCTCACTTTAACTAACTAACCCTAATAAGATTAAGGAGAGATTACTTAATAGTGTAGAAACTATAATAGGGACTTCTTACTGAGTCGGGGACAGTAAAACTGTCATTTTTGTATTGCATGAATGCAGCATTAGCTAATCTGAAGTTTTAGCGCCAAATGTTTGCTCTGCAGGTTTGCAGGTTCATCCAGAGGTTCATCATGTGCATTAACTATTTGATTAACTATTAACTATTAACTATTTGATTATTTCATTTTGATTAACCTCCCCCACCCTGACCTGGACTTCACCCCTGAAACACAGAGGCACAGAGGAACACGCAGTATGGTTTAAATGCATTCTGAGCAATATCTCAACAGAACTTAAAATCTATTTTACTCTCTATCTTTTGTTTAATAGAAATTAGTGCACAGTTGTATACACACACACACACATATATATATATATATATATATATATATATATATATTTCCATTTACCATTTATACAATTTTCTAGACATTTTAAATTAGAATATTATTTAATAACTATATATATATTAAGAATGAACAGCGTCAGTAAAACTGTATCCATCTATCTATCCATCTATCTATCCATCAATCTATCTATCCATCTATCTATCCATCAATCAATCTATCTATCTATATATCCATCCATCCATCTATCTATCCATCTATATATTGACAATGCATTTAATGATTAATATCTTGTTATTATTCTATTAACCTTGCAGGACAATTTGATGTTATTTGAATTTTCACAATTTCTATGATTTTATCTTCAGAGGATTGCCTCATTCTATTTTTGAAAATATTAGAGCTATCTCTGAAAACAAACCCCTTTTACTAATGTATAACACGTAATACCTAACTATCTAATATGTACGGTGGCCCTGAAGTGCAAGACACCACAGCATTTCACAAAACACTACAGCATTTCACAAAACACTACAGCATTTCACAAAACACCACAGCATTTCACAAAACACCACAGCATTTCACAAAACACTACAGCATTTCACAAAACGCTGCAGCATTTCACAAAACACCACAGCATTTCACAAAACACTGCAGCATTTCACAAAACGCCGCAGCATTTCACAAAACACTACAGCATTTCACAAAACACTACAGCATTTCACAAAACGCCTCAGCATTTCACAAAACGCCGCAGCATTTCACAAAACACCACAGCATTTCAGAAAACACCACAGCATTTCACATTGGACGGTGTTATGTGTTTGTGCCCTGATCAGGGGCTCCTAGTGTGATGTGTCATGTCTAGCTGTAGTTTCCTGTTATGGTTTTGTAGTCCTTATCGTTTCCCCTCCAGGTGTACCCATTTGTAATTAACCCAGGTGTGTATTGTCTCGTCATTACCTCATGTATAAGTATTCTGCCTTCCCCTTTGTCTGGTGCTGATCCTGTCTGTGCAGTATGTGTTCTTGTCTGTCATTACTTTATATTTCCTTTGTTCAACCATGGTGGTAATTATTAATTAAATTCTTTTTTTGATTACTTCGGCTACCGTCTCCTTTATTATGTTGCCTTGACTCGACATTGAGCCTGCTAATAGTCAATGGTAACGTAATATGGGGGCTCGTGCCAAACTGATTTGAGCAGGAATTTGGTGGTGGCCGCTGAGCTTAGTCCACACTTTGAATTATGGTTGACAGTGTCGTGTGTGTGGCCCATGTTTTATACCCTCTTGGTAAATAATTCTCCAATAAGGAGTGTTTTCATCCAGCTAGGGCAGCTGGACCATTTTCTATGGTTCCTTCCTTCGCCTGGTAGACATACCGTCTATGCTGGTCGGGGTAGTAGGAAGACCCTGTCAGGCTCCTCCTAGGCCGGCGTATGTCAGCTAGTTAGTTATATAGGGGGTCTGATAGTGAGGGATGGAAACGTTTAAGGCAGGGGTCCCCAAACTTGTTCCTGTGAGGGCCACATAACTTTTCCCTTCTCTGATGGGGGCCGGGTCAGTTTGTAACAGAAAAAGTGTGACGATCGCATGGGTGTCTAAACGTAAACATTTATTGTTTTCTAGAAAGCCACACATAACCAAATATTAATAACCCTTTCCGGGATCTTCACAGAAAAAAAGTCAGGAAATAAATAATAACACTATTAATGAAATAAATAACACTATTTATGAAATAAATAATAACCAAATAACCCTCTCTGGGTTCTTCACAGAAAAAAGTCCATTGAAAATTACTGTAACTTTCTGTTGTGCCGTGCACAATCTTAACAGGTAAAAGTTTAGCTTAGTTGTCAGAGCAGAATCTCTCAAAATAAACGTGGATTTACGTAAAAAAAACTATTTTTTCGGGGTTCGGGTGTTTTGTTTGATTTTAAACAAACAAAGTCTTGGCTTTCAGAATATGAAACTTTTATTTCCTATTTATTTCTCACTCGCAATCTGCTCTTCCGCAGCGCCGTCCCCCCCTCACTCCGCTGAAATTATGAATGTAAGAGTACAGTAATCATAGATAACACTGCAGGGTCCGTTACAGTTTGTTTTCATCTGATTTCAATTAAACAAAGTCTTGGCTTTCAGAATATTAAACTTGTTTCGGCAAATTCAGATGATAAATACAACTTTGAAGCTTCGGCATAATTACAAGCGGAGAACGGCAGGCATAACTACAGCCGGTGTTTCTCGTGAGTGTTTTCCCCGGGAAACAAACACAATACACACAAACGCAAAATTACACAAGCACACACACTCACACGCACACGTATACACACACACTCGCGAGCTTCCCCTCCAAACGAAAATATCTTCCCTCGGTAGTATTTTGATCATTTGCTCCGCTAATAATCAATCAGATCGATGGATTCCAGAGAACTTTGAAGGCCTTTTTCTCAAAATGATGACTCGGTGACAGTCATTATATAATGTGACATATTTCGCTTAATATTTGAAGTACAAAAACAATCCTGATATCATTAGAAAGCTAGGAATATCCTCTTTCCAACAGTGTATACAACTCAAAAGGTGTCTTCGGGTCAATGCGACTGATTTCGATAGAGCAGGTCACAACATTTTGACAGGGGCTAGTCTAGGATTCGCGTGGCCAGACTGAAAAAAAATTAAAAAAATAAAAAAAAAAAAAAAAAATCATAATGCGTCTCTGGTATTGTTCAGGGGGCCGGGCCAAATGTGGAGGCGGGCCGTACCCGGCCCGCGGGCCTTAGTTTGGGGACCACTGGTTTAAGGGATGGGCTTTAGGTGTTTTGTTTTTTTGAACACACGACAGTTGTTAATCTCTTGCGAATAATTTTGAGTGTGGATGCTTTAGAAGGTCACACCGGTGCTCTTCTCTATTTAGTGTATAGCGGTAGGGGAGCGGTGGCCAGAGTTATTAAGAACAGACTGTACAGACGTGTAGGGTGAAGCCGGTTTTGTTTTGTTTTTTTGTGTATATGTTAATTGGTTGGTCGTATATGCTGGTGGAAGCGGGGTTGGTTCTTTAGTTTATTCCTCCCCCGGTGCGACGGTACTAGGGCAGGTATGCCTGTGAAGGTATGTGATTTTGTGGCTAGGCCAACTGTCAACTTGTTGGGCTTGTGCACTAAGGAGGAATTATCGGGGATAGCAGAGCATTACGGTGTCAGGCTTGCCCCGAGCATGAAAAAGCAGCAGCAGCGGTTAGCGCTGGTGGAGGCTTTGACCGCCAAGGAGGTTATGGAGTGCTCTGTGGGCAAACCTGAGGAGGAGGAGGTAGTCACATGTGACCCGGTTTCGGAGAACCAGGTTTTGCTGAGGAAGTTGGAACTAGAGTTTAAATTCGAGCAGCTGAGACATGCAGAGCGGTTATGCGCTCGGGAAGCGGAGGAGGCAGAACGTGGGTGCGTGCATGAGCTTGAGCTTAGAAGGCTTGGGGTAGAGGCGCGGGCAGTGCATCTTGAAGCTAGGTTCGATGCTACTAGGCACCTACGTCTGGTCCCGCAATTTTCAGAGAAGGATGTTGACAAATATTTTTCTATGTTCGAAAATATAGCCACAACTCTGAAATGGCCTAATGACCAGTAGACATTACTTCTCCAGAGCGCACTCACCGGGAAAGCACAACACGTTTACGCGTCACTTTGCCCAAACACCCAGGATTACGCCGTGGTGAAGGCTGCTATCCTTAGAGCTTACGAGCTTGTGCCGGAGGCGTATAGGCAGAGGTTTCACGCTCTTAGAAAGAACAATGTGCAGACCTACGTGGAGTTTGCTTACGAGAAGGAGCTGTTGTTTGATCGTTGGTGCGCGTCAGAGAAGGTGGACACTTTGGTTAAGATGTGGGAACTCGTGCTTCTTGAGGAGTTTAAGTCCTATTGTTTGCCCGATAATGTGGCGATGTACATTAATGAACATAAGGTGACTGAGTGCTCGGTGGCTGCGAGCCTTGCGGATGAGTTCGTGTTGACGCACAAAGTGCTCTTTGACAGACCTAATTATCCCGTGCGCAGTGTGGAGAGTAGACCGAGGTGGGGCTTGGGTGACAGGCCTGTGGCCTCTGGCGGTGGCAGTGTGGGCGAGGTTGCTGAGCGGGGAATGAGGAGAGAAATGCGTGAGTGTTTCCACTGTGGAAAAAAGGCCACATAAAGGAGAACTGTTTTGCCCTTACCCGTCCCAGTAAACAAATATCGTTGGTAATGACACCCACACCCACACACACATCTCTGAGTAGGGATGCCCAAAGGGGTGAGGATATGAAAGCTTACTTACCGTTCATCAGTGAGGGGTTTGTATCCTTGTCCGGCGAAGGGGTGAAGGTTCCTGTGACCATATTAAGGGATACGGCTGCGTCCCAGTCATTTATTCGGAGAGATGTGCTGCCTTTTGACAGTGGTTCAGAGGTGAATGCTGGGATAACTGTCAGGTCTTTTGGGATGCATGTCATGGAAGTTCCGCTTCAC